AAGGATAAAGCACAACCCCCAACAGTAAAAAGCTCTCCCCTCGTCATTCACAAAGCCCAAACACAGTGCCAGTAAAATCAGCAGAAGTTTTAAAACACAAAAGGTGGATCAACTTTCACAGTACTTTTATCCTCAAGATAGGGGTTCCATGGAAAAGTACAGGAATGTCTAAAGCAGAGTTTCTGTTCTGAAAATCAACATTTCGTATCTAAAAATGTTTTGTTGAAGATTTCCAAGCCATTTAGTTCTAGAAGGACCAAAATCAGGAAGGTACATGAGATACTCCACTGAACTACAGAATTTCATTGTCACTTGAGGATTCTTCAATAGCGATAAACTAAATTACCCTGAACAGCTGCTCAGAGTGAAACTTCATTTCACTGAAAATGAAGCATTTTATGGAATTAGTTTTCATCCAGAAAGTAGCACTAAAGAGAGGGGGAGACTTTTCCATATTTTATTGCCGAGTTTCTTTCTCAGAAATCAGTCCACACATAAGGTTCAAACTCACATTTTGCCTGATTCAGAACAATCAGAGATGAAAAGCTTTTCCATGAATCAAACAGAGCAGGACTTGAGCTTGGGACTCCCATACCCCTGACTAGTCCCCTCACTAGTGGGGTTTCAGCACTCACATCTCTTGCCAAATTGCAAGATTTGAACAGAATTCTGTTTATGAAAAAGCATTCAGAAAGCGTTAGTTTTCATTCCAGCATGGAATTGAAACCAAACTTTGAAACCTCAGAATTGCTGCAGAACAGTGTTGTCCTCCAGTCAGCTCAAAGGGCTGCTTTGTGTCTCAGGAGCTTGCAAAATAACTAGATCACAGTTCTAGGTCCAGGCCCGTATTTTGTGACTGTGCATTTCTGGAGGTTTTTAAGACACCAGACAAGCTTGCAATACACCAGCATTGACATGTTTAACCTGAGTTCTGACAGTATCAAATATATTCTTGCCTTGCTGTGTGGCTTTGACTAGCAGTTGAATGGGCAGCAACTTTAGAACTTGCACAAGCAGCAAACAGCACTGAAGTATTTCTGTCAGTATTGGCTGTGCAATTCTACCACCCTGTGCATTAAAATGCAGGTCCTTAAATTTATTCCCATTGTTTTATTTCTTGTTTCCAAGGTTCAGTGACACCGAAGTTCAAAGGCACCCAATCCGACCTCAGGAATTTGCAGGCTGTTGTGCTTTGAAGCTTCCTGACTGAACAGGGACTGTACAGTGTTTCCATTTTCCTTGGCACCTGAGCCCTATTCCCTAAAGGCTTAGGTAGTGTTAAGGACTGTGTAGATGGCTTGTGCTTAGTTTAAACCACATACAGGAAGCTTTGTTTTAGCTCAACTTCTCTATTGTTATGCTATATTAATAGGCTCTTTTGAAGCTTAAGAAAAGACTGAGCCACCTAAAAAATAGTTCTGGGTGGGGAAAGTTATTTACGAACACGTTTCCAAAACCTGAAAGAATTTAACTATTTCCTTGCCTTCCTTTGCAGCCAGGTTTTGCTCATTCCGGGGCTCAGAGAGACGAAGCAGCACTCCCATTTTTGAAATTATGGGGTTTGAGTAATAGGTATTCATTTATAAGCAAATGAACATATTTATTCTTAGATTCTTGTAGTTAAGCCAGAAAAATGTTGGCTAGCCACTATGCAAACATACAGATACGCTCTGAGTTTTGATCTTGCTCTGACTTTATACACAGATTCAACAGAGAAATACGCCAACCTTAGCTTGTACTGGAAGGGCTGATTTTGTTCTGCTCATATTAGCAGTCAGAATCAAAGGCAGTTCCGGAAGTGCCTTGCTCAGGCCAGCCCTCACTGCCACCGGCTCTTTGCTGCTGCTGTCCCCATTTATTCTGCTGACAGTCAGCTCTGTCCCCTTCTAAACTCAGGATTCAGCCTTGTCAGTCCTGACACTCAGTTCTCCCTGTTGGCTACTCATTCTTGCATATCTCAAGCCTTGAGTGGGACTTCTCTAGTGTCTTAAGAACTGAAAACAAGCACACCCTTCATCCCTGCTGCTTTAGGTGGGGGTGTGCGGCTGTATGCTTTTCACCCCACTTCCTCCAAGGGACGGTGCCAAAGCGGATGTGTCACTTTGCAGCAGGGGTGCGGGACAATGCAGTGCTCAGGGGAAGTGGCCGAACTGCTCAGCTTCTGCTTTGATTAATTTTTTTCTTTCATTCTTTTTCAAGTGGTATTTGCAACATCGACAGTTTCTCCCTTCCACCCAGAAATCCCCCTGCGCCAGAAGCAAAGCTTTCTGTTGTGCAGAAAGAGGAAGAGCCAAAGGGGCTGTGTGGAGACTTCTCAGCTGTAGGCCAAATTAATACAGCCTGCTTTAGGGCGTTACAGGAGTGATTGGAAACCTTTACACAGGTAGCCATAACAGTCAAGGAGCGGTGGCTTTTGGTGAGGTTCTCAGTTAAAGCTTAACATGCACCCAATTCCTCAAACTGCTTGGACTCATGGGGAGAAATTTCTAAGAGAACTAACACCTTTTGGCTTTTTTTCCCCTCATTTAGGAAGACATTTGTTTTTCAAATATCTAGGCTACATATTGCAGCTCTGTGGCAAAGAAAAAGGGCTTAAAGGGCCTGAAAGAGGCACGTTCATCTCTGTTAAAAAGTATACCATATGATAGAGATGACATATTACTCAGTTCTGAGAGCAGTGTCCAAACTTAAAGCATGCTTTTCTGTGGTCAAGAAAAAAAAACAAAACCGAAACTAACACAAAAGAGAACCCCAAATGTTCATCAAAACTACTTGTTACAGATCATAGTTACGTTCATGAAGCTGCAGCCTGCTTGCAGCCAGAAGTCCAAAATGGCCATCCCACAGTGTTGTCAGACTTCCTGCACCATGGTGTTTCCCAAGTTCTTTATAAAGAAGGTTTTCTGAGTGCAAAGAATGCACATGGGAATAGGCAATGCAAATCTGTTTACTGACAGTGACATTGGGCTTTCTAAATATATTCCTTCAGTAAGGGCCATTAAAAAAAAGGGGTGGGGTTTTTTTCCACTCTTCCACATGTTGAGAAGCAGGAGTCCCTGGAATCTGTGATGAACTTTTAAGTTTTGGGGTTTTTTTGTTTAAAATTTACTAACATTTTGTTGCCAAGGGAAATCTCTTGAGAATAAGGATTTGTGGTTTGCAAACGTGGAAGAAAAGATTGTCTTAAAATGGCCTTCTGCATAAATGAAGGAAATACATTCTTTGTAGGTGCTCTAGCGAACACACTGACCTGTGCTAGCCAGGAATATCAGTGCTAGAAAGACACTTCCTTTTCCTTGAAACCCTTTGAGAGTGGCTAGGATTGCATTACTTGCTCTGCATCTGGTTTATGAACCTTTCAAACAGAGGAGGCACATCCTGGTTCAGGATTCAGGTCTTCCTCCAAATAAAGAATATACTCTTTAGATATCACATCACCTGTCTTTGAATAGCTGATGGTTCCTGCTGCTTGCTAGTTAACTGTGTTTTCAATGAAAAAGTGATTACCAGTGGAATTGGAGGGTCAGAGGTACTGCTTGTTCTAACTGTAAACTCTTCCCTCACCCCTTTTAGCATTGCTCATCTTCAGTTTGAGAGGCACAAAGCAGGGGAAACAGAAGCTTGTGGCTAATGTAGTTGGTGGCAACTTTCCTTCAGAGCTTATTAAACTTTTCTTATTGACTTATTTGGTCTGATACACAGAACCTGAGTCAGTGATATTGCTGTAAACATCCACCAGTGTCATGCTGCCAGCACAAGCTACTTGCTTAACTCTGGTTGCACCTTCTGTTGTTTTAGTCCATTGAGGTTAGACTCCCAGGGCTTCTTCCAATCAATACCCTCCTTCATGGAAACATAATGTAGTACATTTTCCCTGACTCAAAGGAAGAAATAGACTGGGAGAGTACATTTCCATGTGTCCGATCAAATCAGGTTCAAATAAACTCCAACCCTCCTTTTTTAATCTATTTTCAGAATAAAACTCTTCCCTTTTAGACTGTTTATCTTTCCTAACAAATACTGAACTAGGAGGTCACTTCTAGAGGTGACGGGACAGCTCTCACCTCTAGAATAATGATCAGTACTATTTCCATTTTATCTCCCTATTTCAGAATATGTCCCTCTGTATCTCTACGTGTTCCACCAAAGAATGTGTTAGTGTGTGGACTGCACCAGCTACAGAGTTTGGAGTAAACCATCTACTGCTTTACAACAGGACAGCCAGTGTACAGCCAGAAAGTGACACACAGAGGAAGTTTTCAGATACAAGAATCCATGCAAAAAGTGCATGGCGGGGAGGACAATTCCCATGTGTCGTACATGCCTGATTGTGCCTGCAGGATTCAAATACCTGTGTACACGCAGGTGCCTGAATTTGTTCTAGCAACTCTCACACACATCAAATCATGAGAATGAGGTTTGGTTTTCAGATGTATATGCAGGCATACATGTTGCGCCTGCATATTAACATGTAGTAGTTGTGTGTGGACAGGCTTCCTGAAGATGGCTTTACATGGATCCCATTGAAATATATTGGATCTGGAATGATAACCAAGCAAGTAGGAATTCACATGCTGCATTGTCTATTTATTTATCTTAGAAAAATTAATGTGTTTTAGTAATTAGTGGATAAAGGGTCAGATGTTAAGAATATGTTGACAGAGTATATACCGGAGTCTTTGGCTATTATATTGAGGAAAATGAAGATTTCATCCATAATAATAATAATTTTTAAAAAGCTATTAAATTACATTAGGTTCTTCCTCATTCAGTTCTGGCTTTTTTATAAAATAATCAAACAGGGAAGTCCTGCTAAGTGGAGGCCTGTGTCCAAAACAACATTTTAAAGTAAGAAAGCAGTGACAATTTTTATTATTTATTGTTAGTGGAGGAGATCATGTATTGCACTCTGGATAAAAATTATCATTATTAACAGCCTCCTGTACACATAAAGCTATGATATTATTTAATGTATGCCTTTCTTCTGTTCTTTTTTACAGATGACCCTCATAAACCAGAGGATAAAGATGAAATTTCCAAAGTTACAATCATAAGTCTTGTCCCATTACTGGTGATTTCTGTTGCTGTGATCGTTATCTTTTATGCCTACCGAACTCATAAAAAGAGGAAACTCAACAAGGCATGGGAGAAGAATGTTAAGCCCAGGAAACATAAGGACTGCAGTGATGTTTGTGCCATTATGTTAGATGATGACCGCTCAGACATCAGTTCTACCTGTGCCAACAACATCAACCACAACACGGAATTGCTGCCTATTGAGTTGGACATTGTTGTTGGCAAAGGAAGGTTTGCTGAAGTGTATAAAGCCAAATTGAAGCAAAACACATCAGAGCAGTATGAAACTGTGGCAGTCAAGATTTTCCCCTATGAAGAATATGCCTCCTGGAAAACTGAGAAAGATATTTTTTCAGATGTAAACCTCAAGCATGAGAACATCCTCCAATTCTTGACAGCAGAGGAGCGTAAGACAGATCTTGGCAAACAGTATTGGTTGATCACCGCATTTCATGCTAGAGGAAACTTACAGGAGTATCTCACACGGCACATTATCAGCTGGGAGGACCTCTGGAAACTGGGTGGGTCCTTGGCCCGAGGGATTGCCCACCTGCATAGTGATCACACACCCTGTGGTCGCCCCAAAACACCTATTGTGCACAGAGATCTAAAAAGTTCCAACATCCTGGTGAAAAATGATTTAACCTGCTGTCTCTGTGACTTTGGGTTATCCCTGAGGCTGGACCCTTCTCTGTCTGTGGATGACTTGGCTAACAGTGGGCAGGTAAGTTGAAAGTTTGAAAAGGGGGTTGTGTGTTGTTCCAAAAAAAAAAAAAAAAAGAGGAACCCCTCCCCCCAAACCATTAAAATTAATATTAAAGTGTTTATAAACAAAGACACTTTAAATTTAACATTACAGCAATAGTGAGCAATGCAAACACACACATATGATAAGGATGTTCTTAACACTGTAAGGTTGTGCCACAGTTTTAATGCCTGATGACATTACAGTTTTGTGTGAGTAGAGCCACTCCTGGTCTAACTCAGCATATGTGAAGTCGGTCTTCTGTCCTTGTAAGCAGATATCTAAGTGACAGATAATCACTTTGAAATGTCAAAAATAAACCTGTTTATTTAAAATAAACAAACTTGTTTGGTATATTCTCCACATAAAAGCAAATGCAAAAATGTCAAGTAACAATAATTGCCCTGTTGTGCTTATTTAACCAAGTAGCGTGGATAACACTCATCTGCTTCACAGGGATGCCAAGGGGATTGTTTATGAATGCTTTGAAGATAAAATTTTTCAAGTACATCTCTAAATATTGGCTCTTCTGATGAAAACTCATAGTATAAATTCAAACCATTTGTTAATTCATTCTTAATTATACATATATAGATGTATTTTTGTATTTTAATACATAGGTCCCATCAAAGCCTGTTCATTTACACTGACTTTTACTTCACATGAAACTATATTTTTAGAACATTTTCAGGGACAGCTCTTCACTCAGTAGTGCTCTGCTGAGTTCACAAGAGCTTTGCTGTTGTTTGTCTAATGAAAATCTGTCTTTGAAAGTCTCTTTAGTGGGAGACTGTCCTGACCTCATTTTGAGAAGGTTTATTAACCAGAGCCAGGAGTGAATGATAACCAGTGGAGCCATATTTAAAATAATACAAACATCGCTCACAGTTACGTACCATTTCTCACCAAACCTTTCTGGAGTTCAAGTGAAGTCATACCATATTGTCAGCCTTTAAGTCTGGTCCCATTTGGAATAAAGTGAAAACACAGTATTCAGTGGTGTAAGGCAGGGGATCTGAAACTCAAGCCCACAGACTCTTTGATCACTTACAGCTGACCTTTATTTCAAGCTGATTTCTCTGGCATCACTCACAGACACTTGGAAGTAGGAGGATAGTGTTGATACTGCCACTTCCACAGTCTACACCGACATTGATGATGAAGTGCAGAGCTGCTCAGAGCGGGTTATTGCGTTGGTGTCAGTGCCCTTGGGTACTGGTTTTGAGGCCCACTGTTTTATTTTGTTTAGCTCCAGTGAAACTCTTTGGGGGGCTGACCCAGCTAGTGTCATTCTCCTCTGTGACAAGGAGTATGGTGGTGTGAAATGATTCCACTTCAGCCTCTACCTTGGTTCTTTTGGGTGCACAAGTACTACCCACTTAACTTTCCTAACATGCCAATGGCAGTGCTTTTGCTGAAGGGACCTTCATCTTATGCATAATTTCTAAACCTTACCATTTGACTCTAACCCTTCTCACTAGGAGGTCTAATTTTTGAAAGTATATAATGGAGCTGACCATTTTTTAATTCACAAAAACATTTAGCTTCCTATGAAATAAATAAAAGAGTGTAACCATTTTTCTGGTCAGTCTTAGACAGTAAGGCAAGTTGTTGGGGTTGCAAAGCCATCTTCTTTCTGATCTATCATATAACCGTTATTATATATATATAT